GGCGGCGGAAGTGGGTGGGAATCGGGAGAGGGAGGGCGGCCTGCTTTAGGCGTCTGTGCGGGGAAATTGGGGGGAGGAGGTTTAGGGGGTTCAGGGGTTTTTGAAAAGATGGGGAAGATGACGAAGATTTTTTAAAGGCGTGCTTTTTTGGGGGGGGGGAGATCTGTAGTCGGCTGACTGACAGAAGATGGGGGGAGATCATCTCGGCGTGTGGAAAGGAGCTGCGATCAAAACATGTCTTGTGTGGAAATTTGGCTTTGGGAAATACTGTAAGAAGCGTCCACGTGCCATAGGCGTTTGACCGATCTTTGTATGACTTCTTCTGCCAAGCTATGGAGATCAATCGAGTCAACAGGAAAATAAGAATTGTCCACGATATCTGTCTTGAGTACTCCGTGACCTGCGGTGCTCTCTTCGTGTTTCGTCATCGCATCACTTTGCATGCAACATTAACCCCGCTGTGGAGCAGAGTGGCTCAAAGCATCAATTGGTAGTGGACTAGTGGTGTGTATCTTGAAGAATCTAAAATACAAAGTTCGGAGGAAATAGCTCCATAGGCGCCAAAGGCCCCACACCGCATCCGCAAGGGAATACTTGCTTATCTTGGACTATGCATATTTAAAAGTTGTTTCGATATGTACCGAGGCAAGGGGAAAAGCGTTGCCGTGAGTGAAAAGGGAGGCAAGTGTACTGATCACTTGGACCAAGTGGTTGTAAGGAAAAGACGGACAGCGAGACCCAGATCAAGTCGCTTGCCACTGCGGATCCAGATGAATCATTCGTCAGAAGGGGCCCTGAACAGCTAGGCAGACCACGATTAGAGGCATCGATGGCTGCTTCCGCTGCCACGTCAGATCCAGTGGACGTTTTCAATCAAGGATCCAAACGGAGTCAAGGACTCGGGCAGGAAAACGGTCTTGAATTTTGCGGGTGGGAAGAGAATTCCTCCTGCACCACCGCATAAGCATGAGCACCAGAAACCTTGGTGTAGCCGACTCGGAAAAGCGTTGGACGCCGAGAGACAGGCCACATTTGATGCATTCCTTCTGTTGTAGGGTGTACACCCTCGTTGTGCTGCAGCTCCCAATTTGTCTGTAAGAAAGGGGCCCCACGATGAGGAGCTGTAGATGTGGTTGAGATATTGCACCGACAGAGCTCGACGCAAAGTTAAAGCCGTGATCTAGGAGCTGCATCGCGTAGGCTCGTGTCGATCTATCGATTTCCGTATAGCGATTCATCATGATGGGGCTGTTACGGATGTGCAAAGTTTGAATGCTGGTATGGTTTAGGAAGCCACTTCCTTCGTATCCTGAGTTCTGTGCCTAAGAAGCGTAAGCAAGGGTAGTCATGAATGACAAATTTAGACAGCTTGCTTACCACAGCTTGCTTACCACATCTTGCCAATGTAATGGCACGCCGAGTTCCTTCAACTTGCCACAGTGGGCCCAAAATTGCTGAAATATCTGAGTTTTCGTCGCAAGGGTGACCCAATGAGACAGAAGCTTGTAGAGCTGCATGATCCATTCGGCCTTCCCAAACGAGCCATCTCAGGTTACAACGTGTTTCTAAATGAAGCCTTCGACCTTCGGCATAGTCCTAGTGTTGTCGAGCAATACAGACAGATGTACAAGAGGATTGATACGTGCCAGAAATGACTTCAGTGCGGCAATAATTGAAAGCCATGACAGGAACTCGCCGACGCAGAATGGCCTGTTTGATTGCACAAGCGATCTGCAAGTTGCTTTGTAGTTTCCAGCAGGCGAATGAAGAGCATAAAGGAGGAAGAACCTGAACGGACTAAGAAATAAATGTTTTCTTTCAGTTGTGCAAACGATTTTTGAATATGACATAAATATTATTGAGCAAGTGAATATAGCTACAGGCTATTGATATTCCACATGTGATGTGTTTGCTGGCGGTAATCACAGCATTTGCTTGCACACATGATGCTCCAATAATGTGTTTGTGGAGTTGTCGTACGGTTTAATCGTGGTATTCTCTCGCCAGGCCGAGTATTGTGTCGTTCGGCTATCATATTCCAACTCAGTCAAGGTGGTATAGCGTTGACTAACAGCAAGTCTCACAGCAGATGAGCTCACAGTCCGGAAACCGACTGGCACAGAACAACATCGAAACCAAGCAGTGGGTACTAAGCTTTTACCATGAACTCGGTCATCTGTGCTTTCATTCCAACAGCGAGATTGAATGTTCCAATAGGAATCGTGGTACAGGATGCTGAGTAATAGTCAGAGATGTTCTCGTTACGATGTCCATGAACCAGCAGTGGGATTTCTGACATCTCAACAAGATTTAGCGGTGATGTTTGTCCGGGATGTGTTGGGAGCGGTGCATTCGCGGCCGCGAATGCACCGCTCCCAACACATCCCGATGTTTGTCGGTATTGTTACTGAATTGGATGCAGAAATGACGATATGAGGGAAAACCCGGTGAGCTAATCCTGTATAGGGCTTAGTCTTACTGTAATGGCTACACTGACTTTGGAGGTTAACGGGTTTCGCCAACCCATTCCGATGTACTGGATAGCTTTATCAGAAGAAAACACCCAGGACTTCAACCCGGGAACAATCTGATCATACAACCAAGTGAGTTCCTTTCACTCTTGTCAGACTACAAGCTTCCGCCCATGCTGGTCATGTTGCATTGCCGAGAAGTCGAGATACGCCCCATTCCTGTTCACCTAATCACGTTCTGGTCACAAATAGAGTGGCTGGATACCAGGCATACTTGTACGTAGTGCTCCGTATGCACATAGGATTGCATGAGGTATGACACTGAGAGTTTGAAATGTTATGCATGCCAGTACCTGCGTTTAACTACGATGCTGGTACAGAACAAAACTCAAATTCTTGTGTTTCTGACTGGGCTGTTGTATGTTTATCCTTGATCTGACCATAAGTATATGGGTAGATCTTCCATTTGTCCGAACATTCCAGCTTCTACCCTCAACATATGGTCACCGGCAGCTTCTGTATTATCTGATAGATGCATGGTTGTCTTCCTTGCCTGTGATTCAAGGAATTGAGGAACGCTGCCTCGAGAAGGGTTCTACCAAGCCAATCTCATAGCAGACCACACTCAAACCTTATATCGATGGATTAATGAGGCGAAATTTAGAGCCTCGTCAAGCGAGCTGGACTCAATGTGGGCTTAAGCAACATCGGTAGCTCTCACGAATGCAACGACAAAAGGCGGCAATTCCTTGTCAGACCGAGCCATTAATATTTCTCGCACTACAAAGCTTCAACCTATAACTTTGTCCTGGTCGTTGAAACGAATGAGCAGTCTCGCCAGACGCTAACCCCATTTTCCCAAGGATTCAGCTGGATCGACCGTCGACTGACATTTGAAAATTTGGTTCCTGTGTGGAGTAACAAAAGCTTACCAACGACAACGATGGTAATCGTGACGAAACCGTGGCTAAATTCTCCGGGATCTGAAAATGCCGAGGGAACTCTCTTCAACGGTTCCGGATGTGCCTATCAACCGTCTTGTTGATCATGACCACATAATATTCTTCTCCCAAATCCACTTTGCCGTCTCCGGCGGCTCGAAATCAGCTCTTCCATTGCAGCGTCCTCTGGCGAAAGCTTCTCACACAATGATCATCCCAGATGCCCCTGTTCAGGCATGATGTCAGTCTTGGTGAGCTGTTTGAACCATGATATGGACAGCTAAAGAATACCACTACTATCAGATTGGGATGCTTCAAATGGAGCTTTATAATATTGGTACCTTAGACGAACGGCAGCGGGCCTATCTGAAAGGTAAGGTAATGATATTTAGCTTTGACGGTACCCAGGTATTCACATTCTCTTGCGCATTCACACATTGCATACAGTGTGCATAGTGGTCATTGAAACATATTTTCAGGTGACTCCGGCAGCTGTATGTCTACTCACTCCGGCCGAATCCTCATTTGATTGTGCAAAATAACTCTTTGGTCCAACCTTTGCGACCCCGAGGTTTCCCCCCTGGCACATCTCAGCATGGCTCTTACCTCGATACTTCTTGGAGCTAGCTTGATTGCTTCCACGGCAGCAAAACAATGTACAAATATCACTGTACTTGTACGTGGAAGTCTCGAAGCGCAGCAAGCTGCTCTGACATCCTCAGGTGGAGATTATGTCCCGCCAGGGTGTCTTCAACGTGCCAGAAATAGCGTCACCTATCGATGTTACCTCCTTCATTCGGAACCTCACAAGCATATCGAATGGCACAAGTTTTGCAATGGAAGCTCTGCTTGACTACCGGACTGTCACTGGCTCATACAAATCTCAGCGCCAAGTTCTGTCGACCAGATGACGAATCTGCAGCGAAATGGGTGGTCCAGGTTCTATCGCACGGCATCGGGTGAGACATGATAGCCGTTTGTTGCCGCATCGTGTCTCCTACTTAGTTAATATCAAATCTAGATTCGATAAGACTTATTGGGATCTCCCTTACAACAATTGCAACTGTAGCTAAACTGATGTGGCAGTCGATCAGTACGGGTATGGTACCCTCAGCTGCAATCGATTCGGCATTGGCAACTCATCCCACGCGGACCCAATACTGTTTTCCAAGCGCCTACGGAAATCTCCGCTCTGTAGCAATTGATTTCAATGCTTCGCAAGGGCACACTGCCATCAGTCGATCATGCCTTCAACGAGAGTGGCACCATTGTCAATGTCGGTCATTCATTCGGTTCGCAACAGTCATACACGCTTGCAGCAATGTATCCCAACATTACCGATGCATTGATTTTGACTGGCTTCTCCTGTAATGGAACTGGGTTTCCACTACTCTTGTTGGCTTCAATGCCAATATTGCTCGACTCAACCAGCCACTACAATTCGGCATTACAAATGCAGCTGTCGCATAACATCTCACTTCACTAGACCCGTACAAGTTGTTACAGGACATCAAGATGGGCCTTACTGCGCAGGCGATGGTCTAGCTACTAGCGATCCTACAATAGCAAATATTGAGCCCTCAAAACTTCACTGCCTACATTCCTGAAGAAACGGGCCATGGACTCAACCTACATTACAGTGCTGTAATGGCTTATCGAGAGGTTCAGGACTTCCTGAAGGCGAATGTTATCACCCCTCCGTTGACATGAGAAATAATTGGTGGGAGAAGGGAGAATGGCATAGACATGGCAATTGATCTGGAAAGGAAAAGTGTACATATTACCCGCTCCACAGATCATGTATGATACGTAGATAATTGCTCCTGATAATGTGATCCATAATATTACCGGCGAAGACAGAGGTAGTTCCGGTAGGACAATCCTTGCCAAATTTGGATTTCTTGAAACAGGGAAGACAACACGACGACCCTCCTTCCTGCACGTCCAGAACCCAGAACTGACATCAAAACTTATCCCAACTTTCTATAGATCATCTACAAATTATTCACCATCTCAAAGACCATTTTCCGGTTTTGTTCCTTACCATCAACTCCTCCGGCCTCAGTCAGGAGGTCCAATGGCACGTTCCCTCCCTCACTCCTTCATCACATACCACCCGCACGAACCAACCTGCCTGAACCCAAAACAAACATTGTGAACTATTTTCCCCAAAAAGGAAAACCTTCCCGATGTGGACGTACTGGGATTTGAACCCAGGACCTTTCACAATCACATCTGTATCCTCTCCAGATCAAGAAGAGAGTGGAATGCGAAGCGAAAATCATACCCCTAGACCATGCGCCCGAAATTTGTAGGTGATTATTGGATTTTGCACAAACAGAAATATATATACCAATAATTCGAGCAGAGTTTGAATTTGTATTTCAATGTATGAGTAGTATTTTTTACTTCGCTTGATGTACGTAACATTTCTCAACCTCTTCTGCAACATTGCCTATGGAATTTAAAGATTACTTTAGGTGGCTGCCCAGAGACAAGCCGTGAAAGTTTAAACGAAAGCTAGTTCTTAGCCAAGTACTCCATACTCACGAATACTTAGTTGAGCCTGAGAACATGCCCTAACTTCTCGGGCTTATGACGCCCACTCATATGGAGTGAGCTTTCCGACCTGCACCAAAGATGTTGTAGTACTCTATACAAGAGTATTGCGCAAGAGTATACCTGTTAAGGTCATGAAGCTTGCGTTGCCGCCGATCAAATGTCTAGTTCCACAACTGTACAACTAAACTCAGCATCATCGCAACCATCAAATCCATTATGCTCTCCTTGCGAGCGGTTCATTGGAGACATATTATCTGGCAACATACCTATGAATGACCTCTGGCGCCAAGCTGAGCAAGGAGAACCTTTCTACAGTACCAACCATCATGCAGACACTGATGAGCTTCAACAGTGCAGCGAGATCTTTGAATGCCCAGTGTGCCAATTGCTTGTCTCCCAGGGATCTGACTATGACATCGAAGGGCCCCAAGATGCCTCTAACTATTGTATCATGACCGCGGAACTGATCAGATCGTTCAAGTTCAGGAGAATTCCCGATTTAGGTCCTATTGTCCGGGACAGGTATTTTGTTTTAGTCACAGACTATGCAGTTGAAGAGTTGGACCAAGCTCTAGAGGACATGATGTCCTCTCTCAAGGTTGTGACTGGACCAAATGACCCAGAGTTGCGGTTCGATACTTTACACAAGCCTGACTGGCCGCTTACTGCCCCTACCGACATGACCGGAATTTGCAAGAAGGTCTTCTCTTCGCCCAAATCCACGGAATCTCTAGCACTTGCGAGGCGGTGGCTTGCTACTTGTCAAAAAGGGCATCTCGAATGTTCGAGGACAGGGTCATCTCAGCTACCGACTCGTGTTATCGATCTCCGTCCTTCAACTTCCGACTTGCAGGCACGGTTGTACGTAACAAATGGCGAAAATGCTCCGTATGTCGCACTGAGCTACTGCTGGGGTGGCGACGTACCATCCAAGACAACATCTATGAACATCGAGCGGTACCGGGACGCCCTCAATATCTCTGAGCTTCCCCTGACATTCAGAGATGCCATCTTCCTTACTCGAGGGCTTGGCTTCCGATACCTGTGGATCGACGCCCTCTGCATTATCCAGGATGATTTCAAAGACTGGGAGCAAGAAGCGGCGGTGATGGGCAATGTTTACGCGGGTTCAGTGTTCACAATCTCCGCACTAAGTTCTCAATCATCATTGGAAGGCTTCTTGCATGAAAGACCTCCAGAAATCACCAAGACAGTGAACATTGGATCACACTCAGTACCGAATTCAGAAGCGGGGATCAACCTCTCCGTCCGCAAAATCAAGCGTACCCACTTCGATTATTGCCTCAGCTACCGCGGATGGACCCTTCAAGAACGCTTACTAGCCACCGCTCTCCTCCACTACACGCCGGAAGGCATGATCTGGGAATGTCGAACCCACTGCGTCAGAGAACATGGCGAAGGCCATCCGACGTCAGGCATGCTCAAGGCGTTGAACCACTTCATAGGCATCTCAGACATGGATTCTTTGTGGCAGCGTGTTGTGCAGGACTACACGACCCGGGCGCTAACGGTGGAGGGCGACAAGCTTCCTGCAATTGCCGGCGTGGCTCGGTACTTCAGAAACAGTAGATCTGAAGACGATGAATACCTAGCAGGGATTTGGAAGGACACGATTCCAGAGAGTCTTCGCTGGATAGCGTACGAGGGTTCCATGGTTCCTCAGCCGAGGGGGTATCGTGCGCCCTCTTGGAGCTGGGCGGCCGTGAACGGGAAGGTGGAATGGCTGATTGAGACGAGCAATGAAATACTTGTTGATGACCTTGGTTTCCAGCTGCTAGATGGGGAGGTTGAAGACAGTCCGCCAGGATCTATGGGCCGAGTCGTCACGGGGTTTCTCGATATCTACGGAGTAGTCAGAGAATGTTTCTTCGAAAAACAAGATGCTTGGAACGGGAAGTTGCATATCGACAAAGAGCAGACCTGTATTTGTTGGACCGATCGTGAGCTGAGCTCGAGCAACTGCTTCGCGCTAGCGCTTGGCTTGTGGCGCTTCCTCCATGGAAGTATAAATCATCTCTACCAGCTTGAGGACCAATGTCGGATTTGGTATCTTGTTCTGGAACGATGTGATGATGGGCACATGGTGTCTTGCGATACGTCCGAGAGTGAGGACGAAAGTATTCCAGAGCTCAAGTTCAAGAGACTTGGGATTGCGTATGCCGATTTTGAAGTTCTGCCCTCCTTACCTGAGCACAAACAAACTTTGCTTAGAGTGATATAACCTTGGCGAAATGTGTTATTTCTCGACATGGATATCTTCTGGGATGGTGGAAAGAGTCCCTGTAGTCGAACTATTCATTGGGTAAGGCATCGTTGGCATGTGATACTTGCCAAAGATTTTCTACTTGGTTGAAAGAAGCTGCCACTAATTCAGAAACCCAGAGGTCAACGGGGAGCACATTCTATTGGGCTACCACTATTCCACTTATTCTAGGTCAAGAGGGTGGTATTGTCACCCAACGATCCTCTCTCGCGTCTACCCGCCGTGTTGTTCGAGACGGGTGAATAGAGCATCGATGATGCGGACGGTGTTGTAAGAATGCGCCTATTCCTTCAAGCAAGAACACTTGAACGTCAGATCTGTACTCTGATAAAGTTGGCAGTCCAGATATCTTGTGGCTGCAAAAACGTATGCGATCCTTTGAGACGACCTCTAAAGGTGTCCGAAGCGCCTGAGCAGTCTGAGTCAGTCCAATTCTCGAACCCGCTTCTCGCCCTCGAACATTTCCACTGTATGATCTGTCAAATTCTCTTTATTGGTGACTAGTCCAGCATGTTTCCGCCACTTCCTCCTAGCTCCAAGCATAAAGGACCCAACACAGAGACCAACAACGGCAACGATGACCCCAATCGCTATGCCTGCTATTGCTCCTGCCGAAAGTGATCTTGGGTCATCCCGGCTGGGGGCTACGCCGCGGGGACATGACTCCGCTGTGCAATTCGCGCATGCGCTTTCGACGGCTTCGACAGAGTTGCGGACGTCCGACTCGAACATACATGCATGCATGAGCGAATCAATCAAAATAGTCCTGCACCCACAACCTTCTGACAGACACAGACTGAGTCGAGTGGGCTACACTGTAGCCTTTGCGTCTCGTGCCAGCGCAAGGTAAGGAACATTGAGAGAGCTTGCTGAAGAAGGATTGGGTTTTTCCGTTTACCAACAAGAGAAATTCAAAAGCGAATATGATCAGAACGACGATCACTCTAGCTCCTGAATCTCTCTATCTGCCGCTAGCTTAAATTCCGTGGCGAATCTATTCAGTTATCCATAACTTACTGGTTCCTTAAATTAAGAAATATAATTATTTGTACATTCATCTCTTTTAAGTTTATACACTTATAGATGATTTTTATATTATTTGCTATTTTTTTCGTGTTGCAAGCCAGGCAAGATGGCCGAGTGGTTAAGGCGGAGCACGTGAGTAAAAAAATCTTGTACTTTTCTGTAAGCCTACTTATTAATACATTGTTAGTCAAGATTACCTTGCCCTTCTGTAGGATGGTTAACTTTGCTCTGGTGCAAACCTCCAGGGTTCGACTCCCTGTCTTGCCAAGACTTCTTTTTGGATTTTCTTTCTCTTCATAATAATTACGTCTTCAATGTCTCTTTCCTTTCATGATTATCTATATCCCTTATCCCCTATCCCCTGTATATACAGATACCTGACATTCCCGATGAGTAGACTTTTGGGCTCCTAGATCAATCATCATCTTGACATCCCACCGCTTGCAAATTTGGCCCCGTCTGTAGCTATACTGACCATCTCCAGGCCATAGCTCACCACATAACGCTAACGGAAAACCCCGCGTGGCAATGGTTAGCAAATCATCTCGACCAGAACGTGACCAGATTATCGAAGTCTTCCTGAGTAGGTTGCGAGTGCTTCTCACGTAAGGAAGAAAAGCCAACAGTTGCAGACCAGAAAGTCGTCGCTTTCTCAATTAGCTTCTCAGCCTTCTCGTGCTTCCGCAAGGTTTTCAGAAGCTGCCCTTTGAGGAAAGTTGTGCGCGCGATTTCCGGCTGGTATACCTTAGGGTCGAGGCCCCAGATCAGGAGCGCTTGATCAATCATCGACCTGCTCCCCACGTTAGCATAGAGAAAACGTCAGTTTGGGCGATGACCCTTACATGGCATCCTTGTAGTGTTCGATACGAATAAGGTGTTCGGCCACCTTATGACAGACGTCTGCTGTGCGGTGGTGGTGGTCCCCTATAGTGGATCGGAATTGTTCGAGCGCCATTTGGTGATACTCATGGCTTTCAGGCAAACGGCCCTGAGCGGCTCGAAGGTTTCCGAAGGCGTACAGCACTCGGCCAGTACTGCTTGGATTTCAGAGCTATGCAATCTTAAAGCCTGTGGGATGAGTTCTTACCGGAACGAAACCTTGTCCATCTTGCCAAACATTTCCTCCTGCTTTGATAGTGCCCAACCGAGGACCTCTTCGGCTGCTTCGTATTTTTCTTGGAACGTGTAAAGCAAACCCAGGTTCGCGTAAGCAAGCGCGCTGAATGACCCGATCCGATTATTGATCTCCATCCCTTGTAGCAAGTTGTTCTCTGCAGTGGCATAATCCTTGTCTTGGATCAACGCAATTGCCAGTTCGCTGAAGCATCGTGAAAGGCGAGCGTCTTGAATATCGGTTCCCTGTAGGTACTGTAGCTGATAGTCCAATGCCTTTAGCTTGAATGCTCGACTGGAGTTGTGGTCATTCGCCTCGGCGGCGATAGCCGCAATCCCAAGACATATATCGACAAGCAAAGATTCGCGGTCCGGATCATCACTCTTCTCACATATGCTAAGGGCTATGTCGTAGAATCCATCGAAGCTGCGGGTCCGTCCTCGCTCAAATTGCCACCTGTTCAAATATTAGCCAGTTCTCCGGTTGAGATGCTTTGTAAATACAGACCACGCCGCGTCCGCAAGGAGCCCTGCCCACTGTATATCATAAGCTGCCGGCTTGTCCTGAAAGAACTTTTGCCATATCTGTTTTAATCTTAGAACGTGCGGGTAGAGTGTCTGACATCTTGGCCATTCCCGAATGGAGTGGGCCTTTGGTGGTGTGCTTTGTAGCTTTTTCTTGGACGGAGCAGCTCTGCCCGACGGCCATTGCAATGCCAGATTACAGACAGCGTTCCAAAAGAACTGGGAGATATCTTCAGTACTCATCTGCGCTATGACTACGTCTTGGACCATCCGATGGATGGAGAGCTGACTTTTTTCTTTGTTGCGCTTGATCAATGATGACTGAAGGAGCTCCGTGCGAGTTGCTCTGTACTCACCAAGCTTCCCAAAAAATTCTTGTGCTGGAAGGTGCGTTGACCACTCTTCGAAGATTATCTCTTCAATACAGTCGGGATCTAGAAAAGCTAAAGTTCTCAAGAGACTTCTCGGCCTGGGATCGAACTCGTCAAGTCGCCAGACGGACGATATGGTATATGAATAATTGCCTCCACCTGTACTGTACCTTAGTCCGTGCAGTTCGGAGTGCTCTCTCTCATTCTCGTACGATTTCATGAACTCGGAGAATGATAACTCTTGTCGCCTGATCACACTAGCCATTTGTGTGAGAGCAAGTGGTAGACCTCCAAGCCTTCGTGAGATATGTTCCGCTACTCCAGAAACGTCGTCATCAAGTGTCAGTGCCTTGAGCAGAGAGGCGCCTTCAGCATCACTGAAAGGCTCCAAGTCAATCCCAGATATTTCTTTGGAGTAATAGGTCTTGGCTATTGGATCCCGACTCGTAATGAGTACAGAGCCGTTTCCCATCACTGGCCAGTAGTCCGCAACGATCGAAGGTTCATCTGCATTGTCAAAGATGATCAACCACGTTGCTTGTGTTTGAGATGAGACTTCTATATTTCCCATGATCCGTGAAGAAGTCCAGGGATTGGAAAGCCATTCTTTCACAAGACCCTTGCTGACGACTTGCGACGTACTTTCAGCAGTAGTTTCTAAACCAAGCTTCTGGGCAATGTGGCTATAAGATTGGTCTAGCTTTGCTATCTCATCGGCCCGCACCCAGAAGACTGCGTCAAACTTCTCTTTATGACGGAAAGCAAACTGGGCGGCGATTTCCGTTTTTCCTAGGCCACCCATGCCGCTCAAGGCAAAGTATTTGGTCCTGGTTGATTCTGATGAAATGAATTTCGTACGAGTTGGAAGAAGAGAGTTTTCTAGAATCTGCAGGATGTCAACCCGTCCGAAAAAGTCCGGATTGCACACTATCGAGTCCAGAACATAGCAGGGCAACCGAGGTTCCCTTCGTGGCGTGGAAAAACTCGTAACAGTTGGCACGAATTCAAAGCCCTGGGACGGCACCGATGAACCTTGCTCGGTGATCAAACTAGTATTCCCTTCCTGCAACCGGCTTCTCATCCTCGCTTCATTGTGCTCTGTGATAATTAGCAGCCAATTAGTTGATAGGACGATGGCGTCGGTACCTTCAGCGATGCGTTCAAAGGATATGATACTTTGATCGCTAGCTATTGGCGAGTACGTACATGGTATTGTGTTCACTGAGCCACGATGTCAGGAAACCTATCATGCCAACAAGGGAATGATCTTACTCGCTTCCAACCTCTTAGCGATGCATTGGTCGGCGTCCTTCAAGACCATGGTAATAAACTCGATTACCGTTTGGAGCCCGTTGGTACTCTTTTCAAAGTTGCAAATGCTCATATGGTCGAGCGGGAGGGCAAGAAACTCCTCTAATGGGGCGTGTGTGGTGCAGAACGCTTTGTCCACAAGCTATCTAGTCAGCCACCTGTCTTGAAGGTGTGAATTTCTCCTACAGACAGGCATGTCGCACTTACTATAGCACGCAAGTTCTTGGCGAAACGCCTTTCATGGATTGTTGTAGCTTTGGTTTCGAAAGCGGATAAAATCGGAGCACGAAGGTGAAGGCCTTCGAACCTCGCGAATATATCAAACAGTATAGCGCTTTCCTCCAGAAAGCGTTCCGCTGCAATTTTCGAAGTGGATCTGGTGGTGACTTTGAGCAGCTTCATGACCCTCTCCCACGTGTCTTCCTGTTTCGTCATGAGGTGAGGAGTCCCAAGGAATATGATTCCAGATACTAAGCTGACCAGGTGCTCGTACCTGTACAGTTGTTCGTTAGCAATGCAAAATGCTTGCTTCAACACAACACCACCAATACTGTGACAGACAAAGAGCATTGGCCGAGGTCGAGTCTGTAACAGTAAGCTTCTTTCGTAGACTGATACTCGTCGTGCGTCTGCTTACATCCTTAGATGCCGTACATTTTGAGAAAATCGGCAAGGGCCCTCAGAAGACAGCCACCTTCTAACAGGATGATTTGCCAGGAGAAAGAGTCATTGAGAGCGACTGGAACATCAAAAGTCAAGATGCGTGCACGTAGCCCTTGCGCTGGTAAGTTGTGCAGGATGCGCTGAAGCCATGTCGCAGAACAAAATGGCCAAGTCTCCACTCGTGGTGTTCCGATGCCTGGAATTAGAACAATGCTTTCTGGTTTCAGTCCCTGGAAATGCTCCAAACATCTGAAGAGTACCTACTCGAGCTGCGTATCGTCGACGCTGCCCGATATGGTGCGTATCTCACGAACCTCCATTCGATTGCGTCTCGCGAGAAAGCTGAGACAGATAGAAGGACAATAGACAAGTAAACAAGTAAATAGCTGACGATCAGTTTGGAAGATGATTTCGATGATTAGGTTTCAGTGTGAAAAATAACAAAACCACTGGTAGTTTTCTAGTCTCATGTAATATTGGCTAACATAAATCATGATTAAAACTAGGATTTCCCCTTGAGCTCCAATGATAAGAAGGAATGTTCGTTGCACATCAAGGTGCGTCTTTTCCAAAAACAGTCCTGGAGAACGCAACATTCCTGCAGGATGAGATTTGAAAAGGTCAGCCACAAAACACAACAGTAGTACGACTCGTACAATTGCTGAACGAAACAATGTGGCGAGTTTAAATCTGCTTGCCCTTTCCAGCACCGTACTTGTTGGATCAATTCCGCCCTGCCGCGATTGGACTACTGCAGGAGTCCATTCATTGATGATCTCCGCGGATCGGCTGTAAGTCCATGTTCGTGGATGACGTAGTCTTGAATTGAGTCTCGGTGTGACTTACAGCCTCTCGATCGATGCGGAGATCTTGCGTACAGAGGTGACCTCGGTATTCATTGGCGCTCTTATATTCTACTCATCTGTTATTCTTCTTATTCTCAATGTAAGTGATAGCTGAATTCCTTCGGAGACGATCGTGATGCAAGCCTGTGGCTTGTATCAAATTACTGATGTTGTGGTAGCACTAATCAAGTTAGTTAGAAGCTAGTTTCTCTAGCGTAGTGATTACTCCCCACAAGATCCGGATCGCTGAAACCAATAAGTTTTAACAAGACATAAGCTAATTTACGGTGTTCCGAAAGTCATGGATCGTTTTGGTCCAGCATTTTCGCATAACTTACATAGGTTAACATCCACTAATATAGTAGTACTATGGGGGAAGGGCTGGAGTATTGTTAGTTCAGCACTGGTAACTTTACTTATAAACCCTATGTATACAGAACAGCTATGTTCAAATGGAGTTAGATGTAACGATTAGACTCATTAGAATGGATGCACACAGAACGAGCTTTGCAGTGACAAATCATAACACAGTGTCCTTATAATGGGAATTAGTTGCTCCTAGCTCCAGACTGCATTCTTCAGGCCCCTCCGTAGTAAGTATTGTTAGTTTGCTCTAGCAACGGCTCGTAAATGTCAAGATAGAACGCCACAAAATCGCTTAAGTTGGACTAGGCTATCCAGAGTCTGATGTACATTCCATTTAGCATCTATAATTGCTTGACATCTCTCTAGCATTGATTTGACCACCTCTACGTAGTAGGTAGGCTATGAGCACAGCGTTTCAAGCAGTAGTTTAATACGTTTAATCAGTTGCGTAACACTGGGGGGCGTCATCTGTACAAGGGCAACAGGGATATTTGTATAAGAGGCGTTAAATAACAATATTACTAGACTAAACTTAAAGTACTTTCGTCTAGTACTGTAGTGGCTAGTCAATGTGGGGGGGACCAACTTTCCCGCTTTACCACTATCCACAAGCAGACGACCACTTCTTAACCTTCACCGCACCAGGCGGTTCCTTAGAGTTAAGGTCTAACCATTGATCAATGAGGGTTCGGCCCGCTCCATGACAAATCTTAAGCTCCCATATGGATGGAAATTCGTAGAAGTTACGTAAAGCTCAATTTGAGCTCAATAAACAGAATAAGTCCACTGCTCAACGGGTGGTGTCAAGATGTGTGGCAACATTTGTCCGACATCTTCGGATGTAGAACTGAATGTAACAGGTCGATGGGCAGCATTGCAGCGCACAGGGAGGTAGAAGTGGGGTTCCCACATGATATTATCCTTTCTCGACATATGAGGTTACACACGCAGGGCTGGGAGAAGTCCACCAATCTTAAAATGTGCGCTTCCTGCGAATTGCAAAAGTTCTTCCAAATCCTTGCCAATTGAGAGAATTGTGCTGCGGCTCTGCCGACCATATTGAATCTTCGTATTGAATAGTTACCAACTACTAATCTCATAGACACTATGCTAGATGTTTGACTCGCCTAAATCAAACTCGATAGGATAATTTCGCCTTTACGACGCTCGTAATAGTGGTCTTGAGCATACAAGTGAGAATGCTGTACCGAAATAGACCCTTTTACATTTGTCAACCTGCCTCCTAGAGCGTGTAGAAAAGCAATTTGTATTATCTATTAAGGGCTGTGCGCCGAGATATACATCAACGTAGCTTGTATGGTACAGTGAAAATTGCTCAAACGTAGGCAAATAGTAGGAATTCAACGCAGAAAAACTGGCCAATGGGCACTCTCATAACTTGACAATATTCTATGAGTCACGTTTGTCCCTCAAGTTCTAACTTAGAGGGAACAACACCCAACTACTACCCGCCAGTCGGGGTTCGCGGAGCTTTTTAACAAGCTGACAATATCATCCCCAAAGCGGGGTTCTTATCTGCTCGGTTATCCCTTGGCCCTAATAAAGCCTGCGCAAGCATTGTATTAATTCACTCCTCCTTCGAACACTATTTCCACTCGTTTGAGATGTCTAGCGAGAATAAGATACAGCCGCGGAAATCCACATGGCCACCACCACAAGAGCCCCTGAAGACAGGTGCCTCAAATAAAGGTGGGAAGGATCAGTAGAGTCAGAATTCACAAGAGATACTCGATTATGGACTACTGAAAGGAGTCACCATTGTTTTGGATGGCGCAAGCCATGGCGACCTCAGCCATGAAGCATCTTGTGGCGGGAAATGCAAGCTGTGCGTTGCGCAAGCTGAGGAGGCGATGAGGGCAACAGCGATGAGCACAGCAGCTGCGGAAGCTTGTCATCGGTCCAGAAAACTAGGTTAAGATACTTGACTAGAGATCGACCAAGATTGCGGCAAATGTGAGTTCATAGACTTCCCACAAAGGTGTACCAGTCTAAGTTGACTATACACGACAAGGAACCGTCTCCTACTTCACCTCTGAACGCATGGGCCGGCGACTCGAATGATTTCTAGGTTCTGGGTTGGCGTTGGAGTCTCGTAAATACTATCCAACACAAGTGAAAGGAGAGTTGGGACTGGTTGCACAGAGTGGGCTTCGCGCGGAAAGAATCAATGGAGAGCCCGTTCACGGGACGCACCTTTGACAGATATACCGTTTGATACGTAAAAGCTGTCATGTTTGATCACCACATTACTATCATCCGAAACTCAATGCTTTCGCGTGGCGTCTCGGTTTGTGAAGCCAGTGGATTGCAGAATGAGGCGTGAGGAACTCCTAATGTCAATGAGCAAGAATCTGCGGCTTTTCTGGTTTCCACAGACAAGCCTACCTGTAGTTGCACCAGACGTTGACTCGCTGTCGGCATTCTTGAACATCAAGAGTTCAGATGGAAGCTGGTCCTTCAAGTAGTACCACTTCTGCTGTGGGTTGAAGTGTACTTGAGTGTTCTCGAAAGCTTTCGTCCTTTCAACCACATCTCCAGCCATTGTGTCGTTGTCGAAGTCCACCGAAGCTGCATCACAGAAGGCAAGAGGCCAGTCCACCAGAGGCCCCTTCAGAGGATGCCATATGCTATCTCCTGTCAGATCACCCGTGTGTAATGCCGAAAGCACAGAAGCTTACTTCACGAATTGCCAGCGAGCTGCCAATATCGCATCAGCCTTCTCATTGAAAGCATTACGTATCGTGCTGACGCCAGCGTTGAACGTGAAGTCTGGCTTATCAGCTTCCGAACTGACGATGCGGATGTGACGCTTTACCGATGTGCGCTCGTGAGGCAGGCTGCTGCCACTCGTACGGCTCTCCAGTTGCAATGGGAAAGGATACATGACGCCTCCGTATCTACAGCTGGTATCAAACGGGACGTTTTATGTACGCATATAGAAAGGCAGCTTACCACGTAATCAAGGACTTGCACAGACGACGCCTGCATTGTTCGCTTTACACACTTTTCAATTTCTGGACGATGGACTCGATCAATTTTATCGACATCCGAAAAGTCATCAAAAGTCATCTGTGTGTCTAGCTCGACGACCTGAAAACCACAACTATCGTATTTCAGAGCATCCCAGTGGTGCCGCATATTGCGAATAATCGTACATTCCTTCTCGCGGATTACATTAGAGATAGGTAATAATCCTGGAGGCTTGTACCGAAGTGTATATGGTTTGACGGATTTGTAGATATCGCTACGCGATAGGTAATGTATATCTGCTTCTACGTCGCCGGCAGTGAGAGCCATCTTGTCGGTCAAAGAGTTCGAGCTAGAGACATCAACAAAGGACTTGGGTCGGTAGGTTATGGACGCAGAATAGTATGGGACAGTGTGGTGTTGCAAAGCCGTGGGGGCTGACGTTTAGAACGGACATTGCACGCTTTGAGTGGACAGCCATACAACCCCTGCAGCAATGTCGAGCTATTGCAAAGAACAGGGTGCACTGCCGTCACGGTACATTGGATGCCCGTTCATGGCTGACTGCCCAACTGCTTTCATGGCCTTCTCTGAAAGGCTAAGGCAGCTTTGGCAGATGCAATACTTAGGTCTGTAATTTGGCATGTGAGGCTTAGACCATCAGGCAGCTTTCGATACCTTCCAACGAGTTTTCATAAAGCCTTATTATAGAAATTTTTGACGTGCAGTGTAATTCATATCGCTTCTTTGCGCAAAGAATAGCCATGTCACTTCCACCTGCAAGGTAGTATCGTGTCGAAAAAAATGCTGTAAAAATGCTAAATCCTCAGCATACTAACAATCGAAGTCCATCTTTGGATCACCCTGTACACGACCTCCGAGATGGAAGTTCCATAGGCTCAGCAACCGAAAGACGCAGTATATTGAATGCTGGGGTCTCTGCGCCAGGTCTGACTCCACGAAGTGAAGCGGCAAGATCTCGTGGAGCCAGCCCAAGTGATCGGCGTAAGTAGGATACTGGGTCTTGAAAGCGTTCTTTGTTTACCAAGATTTAGAAAAGTCGAGAGAATACGTACAATCGATTATTGCCCACTCACGAAGATATACCGCAAATTCCTTGTACCCAGGACAGAATTACCTGGGTCTGGCCGCATGGCTTCAAGAGGAGACGCACGAGAAGTCGATCCTCAACGACAGACACAAGGTAGCAGTTCTTCATTGCTTGACCGCTGATGGACCAACCCAGATCCAACATTATGCACATCAGGACCTGGAACGTTTCTCGACGCAGATGAGGTCAGAGAACAAAATCAACAAAATCCTCTTCTTGCGAGGGTATGCTAGCCCTGACTGGATTAGCATGATCGGTGGAATCTGCCGAATAGATCCCGAGTATTTCAATCGTCACCTTGCTTTCATGACAACTTTTGTCTATCGAAATACTTTCTCAAAACCGTCTTTGTCGTCTACCTGCAGAAACATCATCACCCTCCGAATAAATACTATCCTAGACGGCTACTCGCAGCGCGATGCATTTAAGAATCTTGCGGCAAGACGAATATCCGAAGCCGCAGACTTGAATACCTATTCTCGGTTATACCAGCGGACCGCTAGCTATGGCGATTCGATTGTCAAGGGCTTCTATACGTTGGACGAACAATACTCCATCCTTGAACAGGAGATCTCTGTATGTGTTCGTGAAAGCAAACAGGGTTGGCTCGGTGTGTGCGCACCCCCATCTTGTCCCTGTGCTGGGTAATCTGCTTCAGCTTTGGTTTGGTTAGACGTCGGAAGAGATCTTACACTTGGGCCGAAAGGACCGTGGCTGTCACATCATGTCCTAAGCGGCAGTGCCAACTCCCTCCCTGTCATACAACATCATGTCTCAATGGTAACAAAGCAAACATACACCGAACGTGCCAACACTTCCATAGACAGTTTTGGCATTTCGACGTTGAGCGATTCTGCGATACAGCAAAGCACAATGCTCCTCCCATTCGATTTCAACTCACTCGCTGACAGTGAAACTGCCAAGCAAGATGTATTCTACGCCTTAAATACAGTATTCCAGCACGCCGCTTTTTCACACGTTCAGCTCATCAACCTAATGGAGTATCAAATCGACAAAGAAATGGGTATTCTGGCTCGCGAGCGCGACCGAAGCCACTCCCTAGACAACCTCCAATATTTCCGCTCAATTCTTGACAGGTATGTTCGCCAGATAAGAGACGTGATATGCGCAACCAAATCACAAGGACGTGGGGGATGGCCGTCAGCGAGCGATACAAAAGGCCAAAGCAAATGTTCTTTGACGGTGGACCGACTTTTGGAGGACTACGATGGCTTGCTATTGAGGGCTCTGGGACTTTGTGAGCGTTGCACAGAGGGTATGGGTATCATGATGAACCGGGCCGTTGTAGCTGAGTCCAAGAAGGCTATTGACCAAGCCGAAAGACTGAAAAAGCTTACACTGCTGGCATCATTTTTTATTCCACTGTCTTTCATAACGTCCCTTTTCGGCGCGAACTTCTCCGAGTTTGCACCGGGGAATTACCTATCAATATGGTCCTTCTTTGCTGCATCCGTACCTGTGCTGTTACTAACCTACTGCTTTTACCTCTGGGACGTCGGAGCATGGTTTGTATGGTTGAGAGAATTGGCTCGAGTTCGTGTTCGAAGGTGAAGATCCTATGCTGTACACTTGCATACGCATCGGACACCCGGTCACATGGCTTTCAGCGGAGGCGAAGGTCACCAACGGTACAAGTGTCGCAGTTAGAACTGACATCCTAACACTGGGCAACCTGATCCGCCGCGAATATCTCGATTACTTATGAGGAACTTATCAAGAGGTATACCCCAGTTCGGTGACTGCAATGACCACATCCAGTAGCTATTTGCCTGAGAGCTTCTTAGTAGGAAGAAGCCTCCTTAAAACAATGATAGAAGAGCCATCAAAGTGCGCTCAGATTAACCCTAACTGTAAGATTGCTCGGAGTGTCTAGAGAGTGTCTAGAGATACGTAACTTAGTCTACGTGATCTAATGAAATCCTGATATTTATAAAAGCACTTTCCCACAAATATGGTCCTAGTATTGTTCAAATCTGCTTCTCTTATGGTACCTACTATGGTCCTGGTTGGACAAAAGCTGTCATTCTCACCAACGATACTTAATCCATATGGTTAGCTACCTCTACTCCTAGTAAGTACGGAGTCGTGCTTCAAAAGTAGTTGACCCCGGGACTATCTGTGATACTACTAGCATATTTTAGCTCGTGCCTAGTCTCTGATGATTACTAATTGTATAAGGGAGAGGGTACCTAAGACGACCTGTGCCAGTTACTATATTATGGGTGTCATTCTTCGTCGCTAGGACATCATTGATACGTGTTAGCTTGGTTTCTGACGGGCGCATTCCCTTAAGCATCAGCTGAAAACGCCTAAAACTTTCTAGACTCTTCCTGAAGCTAGCTCTGTGAGTTAGGCCTGATATGACTAATTTGGCAGCTACGGTTCAGTGCCGGTCAACTACTTTGAAGCATGGCTCCGTACTAAGTTATCAAGTGGCAAAGAATGCCCTCAAGCAAGCTATGTAGTTTAGAGGCCAGCCCTTCATGGAAGGAAGCACTACGACTTCGTGGGCTGGAGCATATTATTGTCTTGTCCCCACTAAAACAGAGAGGACATCAGCCATCTAACATAACTAGTAGATAGCTAGTTTCTAACTTAATAGAGTGGCTGGGTATCAATTGGGCCCTTGAATCCAACCCATATCAGAACACCAAAGCGAAGGAGGGGTAGATCAAGCACGCCATCCACGCGCCCAGATCTAAACATCCTCATTCAGGCAGGCAGGAGATATGGCGTGCAATATGATCGGTAGCGATGATAATGATGACCATCCTGACCATCCTGACCTTCCAAACTTAAAACTCAATCAACACTCGTACAGTATCAAAAAGTCTTCTTTGCGTACATACCTTCAAGCGAATCGGCAGCCTCTTGTCGGCTCCCTGTCTTAGATCAGAGTGATACATACACGTACAGATCAGACGACCAAGAATTCACAACATGTCTTCCCAAGTGCAAGAAAACCTGGTCTCCTCGAACGAGAAATACGCCTCCAATTTCAAACACGGTGATCTCCCACTCCCGCCTGCGAAGAAGTATTTAGTTGGTATACACCCATTTCCATCCCTCCTCCTCTCTTGCCGAATTCAGAGAACTGATGCCGGGACCCCCCAGTAACATGCATGGACGCGCGCATCGACCCAGCTGCCGCGTTCGGCATCTCCCTCGGCGATGCCCACGTGATCCGTAACGTAGGCCTTACCCTTCTTCTTCCCATCTCTTCCACACCCTTCCATTCCCCAACGAACCCATACCTAACAGATGATGTTCACCCAGGCTGGTGCCTCCGCCTCTGACGCTCTCCGCTCCATCATAATCTCACAACAACTCCTCGGCACGAACTCCGTCCTCCTGATCAAGCACACAGGCTGCGGCATGCTCACATTCGAAAACAGAGATATCTATCAGGTAATCAACCGGAATCTGGGGCAGGGGGCGACGGGGGAATTGGAGGCCCAGAGTTTCGACTTTCAGCCGTTCCCGGATCTAGAAGGCGCGGTGAGAGAGGATGTAGAGTTTTTGAGGAAGAGTCAGTTGGTGGCGAAGGGAGTGGAGGTGAGTGGCTGGGTTTATGAGGTTGAGAGTGGGAGGGTGAGGAAGGTGATATGAGGGCTGATTTTGTCTTTGGCGAGTTTGGTGTTCTGGATGGATGTGGCTTTCGAAACATTTGTCTGCTCAGGTTCTCGGTGTGTCTGCTGGAGAGTATGATGGAAAAGTAATGACAAATGGGCATGGCGAGCGCTTTTGTGCGCGTCTCAAATGTTGCGCGATTGAAGTGAAACGCAGATACCGTTAAGATCTATCATGCAAGATTTCCCCTTCTAACGTCATGAACGAGACGTCACTTGACATGTTATTCTAAGGTTGCGGTGATTCAGCTGATATGCTGAGTGATTCGGCATCCTTCGAGTGAAAACCACCCTCATCCCTATCTTCGCCTTTCTGCGGCCATAGAATCTGCTTCAGATATATAGCCCTGAACATCATAAATACAACAAATAACCATGTCAAAATGAGAATACACGTCATGACAGAGCCGATGATGTCGATTGCCGGGGAATTGAAGGCTTTGGCGACAGCAAATGTTGCAGTGATCAAGGCAGTGTTGGGAAATATAAATGAAAACCAATTCATGGCAAACAACATATTTCCCCGGACACAGCTGTAATGAGCACCCACTGCAATAAGGAAGAACCAGACGGCAAGGCTGTATCAGTTAGCAAACGTCATGATCTGTTATTGGTATGCTTACCCCCACAACCACAGGCACATCCAATTGGCCACTACCTGGATAATCTGTGCAGTGAGCTCTGAGTCGCCAGCATCCATATAATTCTTTGGGAGGGCAGATCGTATATTAGCGGCCATAGTAATGGTTCCGGCAACAGTGAAACCGCTAGGGCCAACGGAGACAAACATTCCTGGTCGCAGAGATTCCTGTGGTAGTTTTTGGGTCATGAGCCGGTAGACGAATGCTGCATAGATCGAAAAGGCAACCAAAAAGCCAACGCCTTGCACTGTGAAACCAGCTATAATGATGGTGAGGTTTTCGGCTTGATTACTCATCTTGGACGATAAAACTCCGGCGAATGGGCCAACGATTAGAAGGGGATAAGCTGGAAATATCCAAATAGGTGTCATATTTGCCACGGAGAAGTATTGCGTGGACCATCTGAGATTTTGTTAGCGGAGACAAAAACTACTAAAGGAAAATTCTCACAGTATTAAATATATTGAAACGCTAAGAGTTATGGCCAAAACTGCATTGAGCCAGAATAATGCATATGCGGCTTTGCTGAGCCAGGAACCAGCATCGTCTATACCATATTGGACAATGTTTATTAGAATGGTTCCGAAAGAAACCACCGTCGCTGGCGCAAAAAGTGATTCGGTGGGGTGTGTAAACGAACTCTTGAAAGTGCGTGGGTGGAAGTAAAAGCGAAGACCTATCATCATCCAAATGGCAATGTAGAAGACGAGGTTGAGAAGGAAGAAGATGGTTCCAATGACTTCAATGCCGTTGAAGCGATAACTGGTGGGTACTGTGGCTACAACGTTCGCAATACCTTATATCCATTAGTTCTGCTTACTTGCTCAGAGGCCAATAAAGGGTCGTCTACCTCCAGTTGCCATCGTCACGGTGAAGTAAGCCCAGGTAGTATGTTTGAGTCTTTGTCTCCAACTGAGGTTCTTCGGAAACCCTTCAGGCAAGTAGCATCGATCGCCTTCGTGGTTCAGATGATTCTTTTCACTCTGCGGGGCCTGACCTCGGCTGCCAGACGACATTTCTAAAAGCCCGTTCCCAGGCGGGTTGAGCGCTTGACTGGACGACGAACGGGCAGATCGGACATTTCGATGTCGATGATGAGCTGGATGCTCTGGATCCTCAATGACTGGAGTACGATATCCATCCTCTCCTGGCTGCCGAAGATGGCGAGGTAGGGCAGGAGGAATGGTTTTGGGCTCTGTCGAACTCGCCATGATGATTCTAGTTCTATTTGGCTCGTGGGTTGCTGATTGTGAACCGATGCCGTATAATTATTATGGAGGTTTGTACGCAACGACCCATCCTGCTGCAGTGAGTGGAATCAATGGATGAACCTCTCACCTTGGTCAGAGAAATCGCGTCCCTCTATCATCGGCTGTATCTGGGTCCATTTGTGGATCCTGAAACAGTTGGAAGCCAGAGGGGTTGTGGCTTGGCCGATGGAGGTCTGCTGACGGCCGCTCAGTCATTAGCCAAAAATGCCGTCTACCCCCAACTTTAGCAGCCCTACAATTTAGATGGCATTCTCTGGTTCTATGTGCATGCCAGTGCTGGGGAGATATCGACCGGTGACCTGAACACACAGCTGACAGAGGCTGATTTTGCGTACTGTAACCGGCAATGGTCCTTTGCCGCTAACTATTCCCGGAGATATTGAACAAATATGATTTACTTATTTACTTCCAAGATCGATCTGACCGATGGCGACCGGCATTATCTCGAACTCCACATTCTGAGCAGCTCGAGCTGGGTAGTGCTATGCTATGCATACTGTCACTACTAGTTTCCGCCTGCTTTACTACAGGGTCCCCATAAGTATCGTTAACTCAACGCTAGTATCTTTGGCGTAAACCATACTAGAACATTCAAGCTAAGTACAAGATCCGCTAGTCGTAATTTTTTGGACCTGTCTGAATGGATGGTCATTAGTGAAGCTTTGCAGAAACAAATCGCAACACTTTGACGAGATAACAAATACTAGCCGCTACTAGCTCTAGACTAACAATATTAATGCCTCCCCCCGAAGTACAGCAAGCAATCAGCCTCGATGCTGCTGCCGAGTAAAGAATGTGGCTGCAAAGGGAACTCACGTGCAGAGACTCATCAGATTTTGTCCAAAGACAGAGAGCACCTTTCTTGTTACCATTTACTAGCTCCCGTAATCTCTGTACCTTCCCCATAGCCTTCATCCATTGTCTGAGTCGTCTTCAATCTCGATCGTCGTTCCCAGCGCCTCTTTGCCCTCCCTGATCATGTCTTGCAGCTGCTTGTTCAGTCGTTGTATACTTTCATCCTCTTTCCTCTCCTTCCGTCTTATCTTCTTTTCAAATTTGTCAACGTCTGGACTACTAGGAGTAGTGAAGCTGTGCCTTGATCCAACCTCTGTTGCTCGTCGTGGAGATGATGCCATGGAGGACCTGGAGCGGCGGTGCCCTGGTGAGCTGGCCATATGAGAGTCTGTGCGACTGGCACACGATCTGCCAGGTGATGCACGAGGTGAGGCGAAGGATGCGGGGCGTTTGATATTACAGCCTGGTGAACCCGCCAACGAAGGTCGAGACGGCACAAGTCGAGGTCTATTTCCAGGTGCGGTAAATAAGGCTCTAGATGCCGGTCGTCTCAGGTCGTAACCCGTTCGTGGATTTTTGGATGCCGTAGGAACTGGACTGCGATCTGATTCATCGTTTCCATCAGTGTTATCAACAAGAACCCAATTGCCTCTGAGGATGCTCCACCCTCTATCCCCTTCTGGACCTGGTGTTGAAAGCTGATCCCCCCGGTATGCTTGTGGTTGAGACATATAGTCATCAATAAATCCTTCCTCTGGAAATTGTCCAGGAACTGGCGCTAAGCTATGGTAGTGCTGTTCTTGATACTGCTTGGTGAAAACGTCGTCCTTTTCGCCAATGTCCGTCCAATTGCTTTGTTCGATATTTGCTGGCGTGTCACCGTTCATCCGGTACGCATGACCTCCTCCGGCTTGAAATCCTCGAAAAGCGCCATTCCAACAAAAATTCAATACCTTCCCTGCAACGCCGCCAACCAGATTTACCACTGCTCTACCCCATCCGCTCTGATCAGTTGAGCGTGCTCGCTCGTGCCTAATATATCCAACACTTGCCGCTGTGGCCGGTGTTCGAGGAAAGTAGCTTCCTGACTTCTGTCTCGCCGTGAGTGTTATACGGTTCGGTCTGTAGTCTAGTTCCCTCATTATTTCATCTTGCTTCTCTTCTGCATCGAGTTTTGCTGCCAATGGAGTGTCCAAACCGCCGGCTATATGATATCCAGTATTCACAAGTGCTGCAGGGCTCTCCGCGACAGGAGTATATGTGACAATTGATTGTGCGCTCGGGCTTTCGGTCTTCTCCCATGGTGTGTTGTGTTGAGACGTCGAAGCAGATTCTGCGTAATGATTGCGGCATACCCGTTTCCTCTTCAGAGAATTGACACTTGAGGGAGCCTGATGAGTCAAGGAATGCGATCTTGCTAGTGAAGTTGTCGCGGACGGGCTGTTGGGTGGAATAAACAGTGGCGGATGGGCGCCTGCTTTCGTCAAGTGGAGAGAAGGACGAGTAGAATGATCGAAATCAGGAAAATAGGAGCCTGACATGACTGGCGCATCCGGGCTAGTGGTCTCAAGCTCAAGCGATCAAGACTGCTAGTCGTGTAGCTATTCTATCTTCCTCGATCAGATGAATAACTATCTGTGTATCCTGCCGGATGGTTGCGCTTGTCCTACATCAACTTTCAGTGGGGTTGCTAGCCTACTCAGACGGCGATCTAAACAAACACCCCCCACGCCTAATTTCCCACAACGCCTCCATTTTAGAGATCACTGTCACGGAACTAACAACGCACAAATGCTTCCACTGAAGCCTACAGTTTCTGGCTCTTCCAGTCACGCTTGACTGCTTTTAGGGCTGATTCGCCATCTACCAAAACGCACCAACCTTCTCCACCACGCCCTCCAGGACCTCCTACAGCAGCTTTGAAGTTTGCCTTCGCATACTCCAGATCCTCCTCATCGAAGCTTCCAGGTTGAAGCCAGACTGCCTGTATACCTACGCTCTTTGCCTCTTCGAGAATCTTTCTCGTCACGTTAGGGGGTGTGATGACCGACAGTGCTGTCTGTGAGGGGTTCTCTAAAGCTGAGGGTGATGCGACTGTACTGTAGGCCTCTGAAGGCAAACTGATCTCTGAACTTGTTGGGTTGATGGGAGTCACAGGTAAGCCATGGGTGTGATACCAAGCTAATACTGCGAAAACATCAGTTCTTGGCTACCGAGACCCTCTTCACTGTGCAAACCTCTGTATCCAAATTTGGAGGTATTTTGACTGGCACCAGCGACTGCGAATTTGGGCGAGGAGAAGAACAGTTTCACAGCGGTCTCCATGCCGAACAGAAATGCAAGCGAACTTAGTAGTGAAGGGTGATCAAGATCCTCTCTTTATCAAATTGAGGTCTCTCCTCTGTCTACTTAGTCGGAGAAATGTCATAATTGGAGATGCCGCGGTTATACCTCGTTTTTACCTCGGTTTATGTACCGTCGAGGATCACGCTATCCCCTTTTGTGCTACATCACTCCACTAGAGGTAGGGTTGGGATCATCCACGGTGGGCGTTTTATTCCCTAGTTTCAGTCATAATTGAACCTGTTCGAATTCAATCGATCATGTTTCTCATTCAGTTTGTTCGCCACGCTCATTGTGCTAAACGCGAGCGGCGCCACTGTTGCAGACACAAAATGGGCTGACACCTGCGATTCACCTATCACTACTTCTTTAACCCTTTTTGACCATGGCATCTTTTGGGTATGTGCTCAAGCTCCCAGCCTATGACCATACTGACTCTTTCAATAACAGCAAGACATCATTTTCTCATGCATCTTATGCATCTTTTCGGCCATCGTATCCACAACACCTATACGCCATCGTCCTGGGCTTCCACAATGGACCCCGAAGACTACTCGTTGATCTTGGAACAGGTCATGGACTGATCTGCCGGTCCCTGGCAAGTGTATTCGAGAAGGTCGTAGGGACAGATCCATCCGAAGGGATGATTAGGCAAGCGAAGACGGCTACCACAAAGGATGAATATCCCAATATTGACTTTGTCCGAGCCTCTGCCGAGTCCCTCCTTTTCATCAAGGATGGAAGTGTCGACATGGCGGTGGCTGGACAAGCTGCTCACTGGTTTGACTACCCCAAACTGTTTAAAGAGATGAGAAGGATCATAAGACCTGGCGGTACGTTGGCCTTCTGGGGATATACCGACTACGTCTTTCGTGACTATCCTAAAGCTTCAAGATTATTGCACGAGACGGCATATGGTATGAGCAAAGATCTTCTCGGTCCTTATTGGCAGCAGCCCGGGCGGTCAATAGTGCAGAATTTCTTGAGGGATGTCAAGCCTCCACTAGGTGAGTGGGAAGTCGAAAGACGTGAATATGACCCAAATCTCCTGGGACCACAATCGAAACAAGGTAGGTTCGTGATGGAGAGGCGCATGCCTGTGGTAGCAACTATGGAGTACATGCGGACGTGGAGCAGCTATCATGGCTGGAAGGAGACGCATCCGGATAAGAGAGCTAGGAGTGCTGGTGGGAAGGGTGATGTGGTGGATGCGGTATTTGAACAGTTTAGAGAGGCGGAGCCGGACTGGCAAGGCCAGGAGAATTGGCAGGATAAGGAAGTGGATATTGAGTGGGGCACAGCGCTCGTTCTGGCGAGGAAAAAGGAATAGATAGATCGGCTTGAGGTCTGTATACATTTTGTAAGCTCTACGGGACGAAGAGTCTTACCGCTCCTATTGGGGAATGGCAGGTTTTCGCATATATGAATGCTTTAATAGCAGCTTGACGTCGCTCAATTCTTGCCTCCTTTCCAGCAAAGTAGTACCTATGGCGCCAGCCTTCTTAGAAACACATGTCAGATGTCGAGTGTATCAATTCTGATACTGTTTCCTGCCCCTGATATGACCAATCCGTCATTGAGAACTTGGCAGGAAATGAAGTTGGTAGCCAGAGCTATGATTGGAACCCCGTTAGCAGAAATGGCCACTATTGTAACTACATGAAACCCATACCAAATCGCAGCAGGACCGCTTGAACGCAAGATACTGTTGCAATGGGTTCCGAGCGATTTCGCTGCATATTTTCCCGCAGGCTATATCATTTAGAGTCAGGAGGATGAGCACGTTTGTGGCGAGTCTCTTCCTAATCTGGATTATGATATCGCCCATGGCCCGGTGAAACAGAGAGGTGAAGCTTCCCGGTCCTTGCGTCTTCGGCTCACGTTTGCCGTTCTTTTGCCCAAGTTTTTGAGCCGTGACTCCGTTCCTGAGGCTTCGAAGATATCCTTCCATCCCGTGCCAGGATAAACTCCACCCTTGGTCCGTCCGAGCTTCTCGTTCTTCTTTCAGCCGTTCTCTCACCTACTCCCCATTCATTCTCTTCCAGCTCATCTTCTTTCGACAACGGTGCTGCTACTCCCGACACTTCCCTCGGACAGTCCTCCTTTCACTTGAGCTGTCACATTTCCTTCTGCCTTTCCTCATCCTCTTCCATACTTTACTCTAGGCATCCAATCTCCCACGCTGTTCGTCCCTCTCGTTCTTTCTGGACCGTTCGAAGTCAAGAGCCTTGGCAGTGGATCCATCTGACTATACCATAAAACTATAGCAATTTGGTCCTCCGTGCACACGATCCGTCATATTGTCAGAGAGTTGTAATACTGCACGGCAGAGAGGAAATTCGATCAGGGAGGTAGCATGGAGGCCCTCAAACTTTTCATGAAGATAACCAATGGATCTGGGTCTCAACCCATTATCCCCTGTAGTATTACCCAAAAGTTTTGGGGCAATATCCAGGTCCTTGAGCTTGGCATGAGCCACGTTCCCTCTGCTGTACTGCAGTGTTCAAGGCCCCTTGGGTATTGCGCAAACTTGGCAATCACGACTCAGGAAAACCGAGTCTGTTCAAGGAGTTGTCTTCCAGTTAGCTTTGTGAACATTGTAAGGACATCGTGAACTCTAGGTATATGTGGTCAACCTTCACTGAGTGTCACGGCCTTTCTGCAGCTGGGAGGGTGGCTGTCGTGAGAGAGTGGAATAGAAGTTGATCATCGCTGGGATCTTGGGTGAGCTTGATAGTAGTTCAACTACTAGATGGTACGGCTGGAAGCTTCGCTACGAGGCTGTTCCGTAGCTTGTACATGACTTGGATAAAATTGCGGGATCGACGATAATGTATCATCAAATCAAGTAAACTAAATCATGACCCCCATTTGATTTGTTTGTCTAATACGTAGCAGAGGCCGAATTAATCTGACTTGACTCATTTGTCATAGAGTCACATATTAGTTGGCAATCCTTTGTTATCTGAGAGGACTGTGAAGGATTTTCATCTTACAAAAGGGGTCCGCCAAGACTTTTATATTTTACTTAAAAACAATCCTAAATATTTCAAGATAAAAGACTTTTCTAGATCTCCAGTAAGACCTCTATTTGACTAATTCCAAGTTCTCAAATTCCATAGTCTTGATTTGGTTTGACGAAGGTACGGGCTTTGGCTTATTTGCCAAACATTTGATTCAAATGGACACACTGGTCGACGAAGATATCTAGTAACATCGGTGATGGAAATACAGATATATTCAGTACTCTCGACGCTGTCCAGTATCGCGTGGAGTAGTGTGAATACTGACATTTTCAATCTCCTTCATGTATGGAGGAAACACAGCTTCTATGAAGTGGAATATCATTTTAGTCAATCGGACGGTAAGATGTCAGACAAAAGCTAGTTTGCGGTCCTCTGAGGGCCACGGTCCTTTCGGTCCAACATAAACCAGTCTCGCCTGGAGGACTGATTGAGTGAGTTATGAGAGAAGATTTGACGTTCTCTTCTTTATGTTTCGCAGCTAAGGAGGTTAGGTGTAAGGTAACTCATTTGATGGAAAGGACTGAGGGTGAAGGACGAGCCCGAGGAGGACAATAATTAGCAGACGAGAAATGATAAGTGTAGGCTAGTAGAAGAAAAAACTGCTGACGGTGTTCAGTCACCTTCGGAGATCATGGGCATTACGTTATTTCGCCGCTTCTAATGCACATGGCATGAGCATGACGTACTGCAAACCGTGGTAAGGATCGTCGTCCGATCAAGGAGAAGATGAGACTGAAGGTCAATCGGTGGAACATGGATGGGGGGGGATTATAGATAAAACCCGGGTGGCAATAAGACTGCACCCAGTTTGGCCTCAAGTGCAGGCACTTGCCATGCTCATCTTGACAATACGAAGCATGAATCTCCTACGCCTTCGCATTGCCGTAGTCTGTTGCGAGGCCAACGCAAACAATGTATCTTTGATTCTCTGGTTAGTTGTAGACCTAGTGATCGTTGTCCTAGTTTTTGCTAGACCCGCTGTGACTGCATAAAGAAAATTCTGGTACAAGACTCTGTTATTCGATTTAGAGGAGCTGTTACCTGGTGATATCAGCTGATAGGTCCCGCAATGGTAACTATTGTGTTGCCCCAATTAGGGATAGTATATTTGCCAAGCCTAGTTCTCTTGGCTCTCCATTTGCCTCATCTTTTCAGTGTATGGAACCCTTGAGGAGTAATTATTATTTACCGTCAAACTGTACGATCTGAAATCGTTCACTCGTTGACAGTCTTGTATGTAAGAGATCAGGGGTTACAATGATCTGCACATTACACAAATTGTGGCTGTGAGCAGCGGTACGTATGAAGGCCTTTCTAATCACGCGGGTCACGAAAATACACTTGCTATACTGCATTGGCACCTCCCTCCGATCAGTGTATCCGTCCTCACCTTAGTTTCTGTCCCCTCTTCGTAGCTTCTGGACAACTGGTGCTTTCCGATGTTCTGACCCATATACAGAGCCAGGCTCCAACACTGACTGAAGAATTCGGGACTTTGCACTTGTCCCTGTAAGCTGATAATGTCAATGCCGGTGAATATGGATCATGCCCAGCACAATGAGCCTTCTGCTCTACTACCTTCCTTCATTCAATCGTCTGCCGCTATGAAAGGCCTGGAATCCTCCAACGATCCTTCGTTCATGTTCAATGGAGCACTCCGTCCAGCGTTAAAGGCTGGACATCTCGCGGCGTTTGACGAGAACTCTGGCAATCCTTCACCTGCTCGACAAAGTCCGGCGGAGTCTACGCCTGAGATAGCCAATGCGATCAGTGGCAGGCTGAATCTCGATTCTGTCTCCGACGAAGAGGATGATGACGACAGCGTCATGGATGATGTCTCCGACGACGTCTACTTCGATGAGTTGCCACCCCATGGCCTTCCAATATCTAGCCTGCCGACTGGATTGTGTTATGATGAGCGCATGCGATATCACGCCGAAGTCGCTACCATCAATGAATCAAACTATCATCCTGAGGATCCGCGTCGAATCTTCTTTATCTACAAAGAGCTATGCGAAGCTGGCTTAGTAGACGACTTGAAGTCTAGGAAACCATTAGTGAGGCAACCACTTTTTCGGATTGATGCCCGAGAAGCTACAGAAGAGGAGTGCTGCCTTATCCATACACCGAAGCATTACGAGTTTGTCAAGCATACATCCGGTGAGCATTAAAACGGTTGCCTTGTGAAGATCTTGAGAGCTCATTATAGCAGAAATGGACAATGACGAGCTCATTGAGCTATCGGAAGCATCCCATCTGGACTCTATTTATTTCAACAAGCTGTCTTATTTCTCGTCTAAGCTCAGTGCTGGAGGTGCTATTGAGACATGCCGGGCAATCTTCCAAGGCAAAGTGAAAAACGCCATAGCAGTCATCAGGCCCCCTGGTCATCATGCTGAAGTTTCTTCCACCATGGGATTCTGCTTGTTCAACAATACCTGCATTGCATCCAGGGTCTGTCAGAACGAATTTCGAGAGAAATGCAGAAAGATCCTTATCCTAGACTGGTACTTCTTTCTTTGCTGTTTCTTTGGTTCAGCAGCTGATTTCAATTCTTCACAGGGATGTGCATCATGGTAGGAAGACGATGTTCCGTTTGAAGGCTTACTACTGACGGTTTAAGGAAATGGCTGTCAGAAGGCGTTTTACTCTGACCCTAACATCCTTTACATCTCAATCCATGTTCATATGGATGGCAAATTCTATCCTGCTGGTGATGATGGAGATATGCTTCATTGCGGAGCTGGACCGGGCTTGGGAAAGTATGTGGTCTCATTCTGCGATTCTCAACAATACTGATACAGGTACAGAAACGTTAATATACCCTGGTTGACTAAGGGAATGGGTGATGGTGATTATATGTATGCATTCCAGCAGGTTGTCATGCCTATTGCACAGGAGTTTGACCCTGATTTTGTGATTGGTACGTCCTGCCATTGCGGTTTCCAATGCTCTGCTAATCCAACCTTCCAAGTTGCTGCTGGGTTTGATGCAGCGGCTGGAGATGAGCTCGGAGGCTGCTTCGTATCTCCTGCGTGCTACGCACACATGACGCATATGTTGATGACATTGGCTGGCGGAAAGGTAGCTGTTTGTCTTGAGGTAAGGGTTTCCTTTCCTTGTTCATGGACATATTTAAACCAAACTTTCTCCGCCAGGGTGGATATAACTTCAGATCAATTTCCAAATCTGCTCTGGCTGTGACTAGAACGTTGATGGGTGAGCCGCCGGACCGACTTCTTCCCACCGCTGCCACAAACTCTGCTGTGGAGATTGTGCGGCAAGTCTCAATGATACAATCTAAGTACTGGCGATGCATGTTTCCAAGGGGCAAGTTTACTCCACCGCTCAGATCTATACGTTTCTGAAGAGTGTCGACTAACTGGCTGTACAAAGATCCGGTAAATGGGGTTGTGTTTGGCGAACGATTGCATGGTAGGAGCTCTGTTGCTTCCATTTGGATTTCCCTTGACTATGATAGATATCATACGAGAATGGCAGGCGAAGCACCTTTATGACGAATACAAACTCTCAAACTTGCACGTCTTCCGAAGCAAGATATCTAAATCATTCAATTATCAGGTGCTGGCGACGTGGGTGGTCCATTGGTCATGGGATGCTCCAACTACTGACCATTGTGTAGGCCTGTCTTTGACGAAAAGAAGAGCCTCCTTGTCATCATGCACGATCCGTGAGAATTGCCTAAGCCGCGATAGAACGTTCATTGCTAAAAGTGATTAGACCTGAAATGATGGGCATTCCTAACGCTATATCGGGCCAACTCGAACTACATAATACCTGGCTGGTACGCTTTCTAGATCCTTTGATGTTCTCCTCTACTTCCGCTGACTCGGATCTTGAAGGCTGATGAAGTCAAGGACTATATCAAATGGGCGGTCGACCATTCATTTGGCGTTATTGATGTCAATATTCCGGAATTGATTACGACTAACATAGGCGACCAGCCCAGCTCCTATCTGAAGCCGAACAACGAAGAGGCACAAAAGCAAGCTGAGAAGCTCGCTGGATATCTGTGGGAAAATTATATTGAGCCCTCTGAAGCTGAAAACCTTTACTTTATGGGAGTGGGAAATGCCTTTCATGGCATTGTAAAACTCCTGTGTGACAGAGGTAAGTATTCCATGTGGTCGCTGCTTGTTATGGCTGCTAAGACGTCGGAATCTCTCAGACAGTGTACACCAGCGTGTTACCAGTGTCATCGTCTTCATCAATGACAACCCAGTTCGGCCCGTCCACAGTAACGAAAACCCTTCTCTATCACGATGGTATAGCCAGAACAGCAATGTCTTCGTGGCTCACACGCACTCTTTGTGGTCTAAAACCGACCGGAAGATGTCGCGTCGCTACGGGAAAGTCGAAAGATCACCCGGTACAACGCTCAATGAAATGCTGATTGTGCACCGGGATCAGGTGTTTGGCTTGTTAGCAGAGCGAAGTGGATCAAACCAAATAGAGCCTGGAGAAAGAATGAACGAGACTGATGACCTTGTAATGAGCTTGGAAAAGTCGGACGTCCAGGACAGACTTGCTCACGAACGTGGGTGAGCCATTTTCGAGGCCAAGATCAGGCAAAGTGTTCAACGTTTGCGATACGATATGATATCTGCAAAACATCATTGATCATGAATATCAGTTTGTCATAGCTAACTTAATGATCCCTTGCAACCAGATTGAAAGCTCGTTACAGCGCACTGTCAGGAAATTCAGCAGCATTCCGGCGTTGCTCAACAGGTTTGAAGTTTTCTCAATCGAGTATTGAGAAAGGACGTGAAATGTTGATGGCAGAACACTGGCAATAGGTTTTGGTACTGCTGGCGTGTTTATCGCTGAAAGACCTGGATCACGACCACTCTTGTCGTATCTTTCAATTGCTCATAGCGGCTCTTCAATAGACAAATCTACGCTTGAAGTCTTCAGAAGAAACTAGAGTACTGCCAAAGCACACCGCGCATATCCTAATCTCGCGGACCTCCTGACAGATTCCTTCTTCAAGCAAAACGTTTCTCACCTGCGGTTTCCTTTACATATATATCTTCATCCCTATGTGGTTTTAAGATGGATCCATCTCAAACGTACGACTCACTTTCTAGTACTCCAGCTTCCGGTTGTATCGATATCAGCTCGGGCCAGACAGCCCCATCAGCAATGTCATTCGTCACATATTCCGCCCTCCAAGGGCAGATTCGTCTGGGGGTGGTAGCCGTCCCTCTAAACGAAAAAGATCCTCTAAAGGAGTACACCACATGGAATGGACAGGCTGTTGAGGTAAACCACGGATGCTGCTTCACTTTCATAGGATTCCACTTCTTCAGAAGGAGAAGATCGGCTGCTGACTGTATCGAACATCGTTTAGATCAGTGATGATCTTTATGCAGAACACATCTGCCCCTCTGATTTGAACGGCGTTCCCTGCGAACATGACGAACTCCCAGGAGGTTGTACACTGCTGAGGCTTTGCGGCGTAAGCATCCCGTTTCAGCCTCTTTCCTCCTAATGGCTGACAAAGCACTTCGTTTTGCAGAACATAGTGAAGTACAACAACTACGCATGCCCCAACAACATCATTGGGATCACATCCCCCAATAGCTGTCCACATTCACGACATCAAGATGTCATGCCGCTTCGTCGCTAAACAGCATCGACCGCCTCATAAGGTTTGCAAGCTGGTGGAAGTGAAAGATTTGACATGTGCGTATGGACATGATCGAGCCAAGGGACGTCAGGATGCTTTCGACCACTATCACGTTCATCGGCTACAGGCCAAGGTGAAAGGGAGCAGAGGAGTGGTGCCATTTAAGAAGAGATGGTGATGACGAGAAGAACTAAGCAGTAAGAACACTGCACCGGGAAGCGACCTTGCGACAAAGGACGCTCTGCAAAGACCGAGGCCTCCTGGGGTATGGTTTAAAGAAATTAGCTGTACCTAACTCAGTACTTGATGACAGTAAGGAAGTTTGTTCTTCTGAACGAGATGTTCCCAAACGAATGTCTGACCTGACTTAATTTGTCAGAGGGTGATCCGGTAGTTGTCGCTATTTGTGTGTAGATAAATAAAATGTCTCTGCTAGTAATGCTTCCTAGAACTGGACGGCAAGCTATTTCTAGAATGGCGAGTGCAGCATTTCACGAGCACGCCAATCACTGGCAGACTTGTTCGTGCACAAAACAGCAAGCTCCAGGAAGCGAGGCCGCGCCTTGTTCGAGTTCAGATGCCTCAATACTGCCACCATTCTTTGCGTCCTGAGTAGGTCCTTTGCATTCCTGGTACGTTTACAGCACCTTCAATCGACCCTAGTGCTCTGATAGTATGTAGAGGGTACTCTATTTTGTCGATCACCGTCAACAGATGTTGATGGGGAGGGAGGCCCTGATGAATCCTGCAGAAGTCTCAGGATAGCAAGCAAAAGTAGTGGACGTGAGACGAGAAAGGACTGGTCATCCTCCTTCTCTTCTTGACGGAACCTTCTCTCTTCAAGCTGTGATATCGATGAAATAGGGAAGCGAATGAAGTCGTACAAAAACGCCGATTTCCAGGGCAGACCCAACCCGCAAGCACCTTTGGCCTTCATTTAAACAAACTTTGGTTAGTCATTCGAGCTTATCTGCTTCAGGCAAAGCTCTCCTCCCTGTCAGCATCCTTCTGCAGGCACCACAGGGATCACCGAAATCCATAGCCTAAGCCTCCACATACCTTTACATTGTAGGCATGAGACGCGACAATAATAGCTTAGGACGGCAGATCCAGGCACTTAACGCCCAACAATTCAAGCGGCCAAAGATCATTGGCGCTACTGTTGAGAATGGATTCGCACCAAAGCTTGCAGGACCAAGTCCTTGGACAATCGCCCGCGCTGGCTGACTTGTTCTTGTATCAATGCTGTCTCCGTAGGGCTCAGAGCGCCTCTCCATCAGCACAGGTATCCTCCACACTCCAGGCTTTTGCAAAGGTCCATTGCGATCGTACTGGTGATGTTCTCTAAGCACAATCTGCACCGGTTGACGGCTATATTGCCTTGCGTGCCTCTGGTAGCATCCTTGACTCGTCGAGATGTAGCAGAGCCAGGCAGTCAAGATATTTGTATGATTGGTCGCCACAGAGGTGCGTCGTTCCATCTCTTCCAGTGACAAAACTTACACTTCCTTAGCTGTCGTCGCCGGAGAGACTCTGTATTTTACAGGAGGGACTTATACATTCCGAGGTGGTAATACCGACAGTCCAGGTACATGATATACTCCATTTATGGGTCTCGAAGATCTGCTGACTGGTCGCACGATCTTAGCACCACAACTCTATTTGGTACCACTGAACAATTCATTCCCAGTTGATGGACCCCTACCAGCCAACAGCTACTACGTGACAGGATCACCCCAGCAATGGCATAATGAAGGTGCTTTCTTTCAAGATGCGGAGGAAACCATACTGTACAATTTCGGTGGATATACAGACGACGAGCAACAACCTATCAATGCTCTAAACACCTACAACGTCACCTCCAGTGAATGGTCTAATGTCACTGTCTCTGGTGGCGACTTCAATTACGCGGGACGAGCAGCAACCTCTCATGCTAGAAGTCTAGGCACATCAGAAGCTCTCAGCTTTGTAACAGGAGGCTGGGACGATGTAGGTGGAATGATTCGGTTCAACGCCTCAGACCCTGCCAACCCACAATGGCAAAACGAAACAGACAACAATCCACCTCTTACTCTCGAAGGAAGTATGCAATTCATCCGTCTGGGTCCAAAGGGCTCGCTGATCCATTTTGGTGGTTATAACAAAGACTACATCAACCCAAATTACACAGGCTGGTCATTCGACCGCAGATCACTCGCACAGATCAGCGTTTATGATATCGACTCCGCGACCTGGTTTAATGTGACTGCTAGCGGCGATATCCCGAGCGATCGATCTGCCTTCTGTAGCGTGGTTTCCTCTGCTCCGGATGATAGCAGCTTCCAAATAACCATCTATGGTGGCTGGGACCTTTTTGGTGCGCGCTCCTTTGCAGACACTTACGTCCTTTCTATCCCCGCCTTTCAATGGATCAACGTGACAGATTCCTCTCACCCGGATGCGCACCTCTCAGCTGGTAACGATTTCTCAGGAAGAGACCACCACCGCTGCGTAGCATACAAAGAACGGCAAATGCTCGTCCTGGGGGGCATACTTCGAATCGAAAGAGAACAACAAAACAGTGGCGGCTGTAACAGAAGCCTCCCAGCTCTCCGGGCTCTCGACCTGACCACCTTCCAGTGGAGCGACAGATGGAACGGAAGCCCGGAGCCATATTCGGTCCCAGACGCAGTCACTCGCATCATTGGGGGCAACGGTGGTGGCGGAGCAACAATGAAACAACCGAACGGCGGTTTCAATGATTCTGCCCTGAACTCCGTATTCGCTGCTGTTGCAGCTCGATATACACCCATCGCAACGCGCCAGTCCGACCCCGGCGGATCTTCGCCGATTTCCAATGGTGGTTACAGCCCAGCACGAAGAACAAACAGAGGCGCCATAGCCGGCTGGGTGGTGGGCGGAATCGCCCTTCTCGCTCTCATTCTCGCGGTCGTCTTCATGCTCATACGCAGGCGCAAACGGGGTGGAAAAGCATCGCCGCTGCACCACCCTCCACAGCACGCGTGGGATGACAAACCACAAGAGATGAGCAACGATACACAGACTCGGCATTTCCGGCCGGGTGTTTACTATAAGCCGGTGACGCAGGAGATGGATGGCGGCTACCGGGGCAGCGAGGTGACGAGTGATACGAGTGATCCGAGGAGACCGGTTGGTGAATTGCCTGGGTAAAAAAGGAGTCTTTAATGCCATTGCTGCCCTGTGTAAGTCTGGATGGAATCAAGGGTATGGCTGGAGCTCGAAAAATGATTTCTTGCTTGGCGCATACATGCAGCATCATGTACATACATGTAAAGATACATGTTCGGCGCGCCTCTGAGCTCGCTCTATTTAGAGATCGCTGTTAGCGGGTGAAAGCGTACCCGGGCGTTCTTCTTCGGGGAAATGTATAAAATGCTCAGTACAGTATATAGATATCGGAACCTGTGGGATTTGAATATCGAGCGTTCATTCAGGCCTGACCCGCTACCCCAACACGGACATAAACTCTTCATCTCTCTGTGGCTACTTCATCTACCTACCTACCTACCCACCTACCAGCCTCCCTACCCAATCCTGAAACCAGGCGGACGGGACACCACAACCATCACCTTCACCTTCACCTCCACCCCCAACCACTCCCCTGATCATCCACTTCATTCTCATGCTCCTCCTCTCCCAAGGAACCAAACGTACTCCCTCTCCGGCCAGGGCCCCTCTCGGGACTGCTGCTGCCAATGACAGGAGGACTGACAGCGACCTTGGGTCGACTCTTGAATACGCTCGCGTAGTCCGCTTGCTCGCTGAATAGATCTAGATCTGCATCTACGTCTCCGCCTCGGTCGGAGCCGCGCTGGGGGGTTGAGTACGAGGCTGAGCTTGTTTCCTGCGCCGTTTGGGTTTGGTCTGGTGTGGGCTTCGGGTGGGGGGTTGTCTTGGCCCTGCTGAGGGGGTGGTGCTTTGGGATTGCGGTGGCGGATCGGTTTGGAGGGAGGGTTGTCGCAGGTGAAAGGCCGGGGTGCTTGGGCTTGGGTTTGGGTTTGAGATTGAGATTCTGGGGTTGACGGTCTTGGCTGGAAGTGGTTGGATGGGTTTGGTTGATGGGCGCTGTGTCGGTGGAGGAAGGGAGTAGAGCCATGGATTGGCGGGTGCGTTCGAGAAGGGTCGTTCCCGTGGGTTTGGGTGGTGATGGAGATGGGAGATTCGCGGAGAAGATGTCCGGCTCGGATTCTGTGGGAACTGGATCTGTAGATTGCTGGGTTGTAGTTTGGTTTTGGAGGAGCTGGCGTGATTGTGGCGGTAAACGGAGGCGGCCTTGTTTGAATGTGGGAGATGAGAGTTCATCGTCATATCTGTTTCTGGAGACCAGAGGAAGTTGTACTCCGGAAGACTCTATGGAATGACATTTGGAGGCCTCGGAAAGGGTCGTTTTTGACTGCTCGACATTATTGTTGGGAACACGAGCTCTACTTGGCTCCGAAGGCTGTTGAGCAATATGAGTGTTCTGGATAAGACTTGTGCCCTCAGTGTCATCCGATTGAATTTGGCTGAAGTAGTCTTCTCCATGCTTGGAAACGTCTTGCTGCCAAACATCATATTCACCTGCTTGATGACTAGACTGACCGGTGGTGCCATCGCCACGAAATATCTCAGCATCACCCGATTTTCCTTCGGGCGGTGGCCCGTCTGTATTGCTCATGGTGCCTGTACTATTGTGCTTTTGCTGGACATCTCTTTTGACGTGATATTGGCTGCTGGACTTTGTTGGAAATACCTTCCGGGACGAATTGTATGCTCTGAGATTTGCTAACTCCGCCCTCATTGCTTCGATTACCTCAGAGTGATATGAAGGAGCTTGTGGGACCGTTTCCGTAGAAACTACTGATTCATTTCTCGGTATACCAGGTCGAAGTTCCTGGTGTGCAGTGAAGTCCAGGATCGCTTTTCTCGTCTGGACCGGTGTTTCTCTTTTTGGGTCTTTCTGAGATTTCTCCAGGGAATCACGAAACTCGGTCCAATTTCGAAGCCTGGAGCGATGTTTTTCTATCCTTTCGTTCAGGTCTGCCAGTAAATTATTTGGTGGGCAAGACAGAGGTTCATTCTCGGTGGTGCTACGGATTTGTTGTGCTCCATCATCTACAGCGTTTCCGGTCAAAGGAAGCTCGAGGTTGCTTAGCCCTCCGTGAAGTAGTACCTCTGCCCATTGCTCATTTCCTGTCCAAGCAACTTGAACGTCATCTGAGATCGCCTCAAGCTTCTCCTGCGTAATGTTCGGCAATTTTCCCTGCCGTGCCAGCACCACCTTTCGCTTCTCTCTTAATTTCGCACGAGCATCTTCCAAATGTCGCATCTCATTTCGAAATTCGCCATCGATTCTGCGGCGCTCGTCCAGCTGTTTCTTCAGATCTATCCTGTGAGCAAGCACAAGCGGCAAGAGCCCCTCTCGTTGCTCTATTGACAGATCTTCCGGTGCGGTCAACACCTCGACGTATCTGGTAGGTGTGGGCGAGGCGCTATGAAGTCTCCGACATGCCTCTTTCCGCAGGATGGCCATGGCAAACACGCGTAGAACTTCTTCAAACTTATCTCCTTTACACTCATCCAGCATTGTCTTTCGGAGAATCGCCTCCTTACCGAGGATGCCATTTTTCTTAAGCTCTGTCAAGCCACGGTACAAAGCAGCGCGTAGGTTGATCGATTGAAGAGGAGCAAGCGGAGGAAAGAAAGGACGAAGTTTCTAGCGAAGCAGCCTGTGAGCAATTGAACTGGTACCCGCGAAGTCATGCCTTACATCCTTTGTGTATGCTGGATCCCAGGTCTCAAAGAGGCGATAGAGACTCCATTCGACGCATTTCACCCGCAGCTGTAAGTTCTGTTGTGAGGTTTTGGCAGAAAATAGCTCTTTGTGTATGACGGGCCAGTCATCCAGTAGGTCAAGATCCAATAGCCGCAGGCATCGTAAGAATGCCACAATGTTACTGGGGCCAGCCCAGTTTGGTGCAGTGACATCTGCTGTTTGCGTTTTGCTGCCCGCAGGTGTTGTTGTTCCTGCAATCTTTGGCACAGACACCTGCATATCTTATCCAATGACACCGCATCAGCACCGCTCTGGTTTGTGGTTGTTGCGGATATCTTTTGTTGATTTCGTCAATTCCAATGATGGCAGACCAATCAGAGGTGTGGTCGATAGAGCATTTGGTTCCTGGCGGCAGATCTCCTGCGCTGTGCAACCTGGACAAAGAGCTTGTGTTGTTTGCTCTGTTTGCTCTGTTTGCTCTGTTTGCTCTGTTTGCTCTGTTTGCTCTGTTTGCTCTGTTTGCTCTGTTTGCTCTGTTTGCTCTGTTTGCTCTGTTTGCTCTGTTTGCTCTGTTTGCTCTGTTTGCTCTGTTTGCTCTGTTTGCTCTGTTTGCTCTGTTTGCTCTGTTTGCTCTGTTTGCTCTGTTTGCTCTGTTTGCTCTGTTTGCTCTGTTTGCTCTGTTTGCTCTGTTTGCTCTGTTTGCTCTGTTTGCTCTGTTTGCTCTGTTTGCTCTGTTTGCTCTGTTTGCTCTGTTTGCTCTGTTTGCTCTGTTTGCTCTGTTTGCTCTGTTTGCTCTGTTTGCTCTGTTTGCTCTGTTTGCTCTGTTTGCTCTGTTTGCTCTGTTTGCTCTGTTTGCTCTGTTTGCTCTGTTTGCTCTGTTTGCTCTGTTTGCTCTGTTTGCTCTGTTTGCTCTGTTTGCTCTGTTTGCTCTGTTTGCTCTGTTTGCTCTTCTGCTTTGCAGGTTTCCAGTGCCACCTGTGTTGGACAAGAATAATATATCAACTGACTACACCCACTTGTACCCTTATCTTCCTGTCATCCAAGCATCCAAGCATCTCACAGCCATAACTTTCATCGAGAATCCTTACCGTACATCTCTGGAGCCGGAGCGCCCACGTCATGGACTCTGAATCTAGCGACAAAGGAATCCAAGGTGATTGCAGCTTGAGGGATGCTCTAGATTCTGCATCTGACTGTGTCAATAGTGTCCTCTAAAACGATCCCACACACATCAACCCTTCCAAGACCAGATCCATGGTCAGTCGGAGCTGGTAAAACGTCTTCGAACCTGCGAGGTCTTCATCTGACCTCCCTCCTGCAGTTCTCGCGGCGCTGCCACACCGATTGCCGGAAAACTCCACCTCTCCCATACCTTTCTTTCACATGGTTGAACGACTGAAATGCGAGAAGCGCGAAGGATGGCGGCGTTTTGGCATTAGAGATGGCGAATCGATAGCAGACCATATGTACAGAATGTCCATCATGACCATGTTGGCTCCTCCTGCCCTGTCATCACGACTGGATATACCTCGATGCACGAAGATGGCTCTGGTTCACGATATGGCTGAAGCATTGGTTGGCGACCTGACTCCAGTAGACAATGTCCCGAAAGTCGAGAAGAGTAGAAGAGAGGCAGAAACCATGGACTACTTATGCAACAGCTTATTGGGGAAGGTACATGGAGGTGAGAACGGCGCAAGCATACGGAAGATCTGGCAGGAGTATGAAGACAGCGAGACGGCTGAAAGCCACTTTGTCCATGATGTTGATAAGGTGGAGTTGATGCTGCAAATGGTGGAGTACGAACGCGCACACGATACGACGCTCGATCTTTCGGAATTTTCTTGGGTGCATGACAGGCTCATCTTACCGGAGATGAAGGAATGGGGGCAAGAGATACTTGTTGAGAGGAGGCGGTTGTGGGAGAACAAACAAGTGACACCAAAGGAGCCAAAAGAAGTGAAGACGCTCCAAGAGCAACAGGACCAGTATTACGGTGAGAGTAATGGCAAAGCTGTATAGCGAGTCTTTGTTCGAAGATACCCCAAGAGCGTCATCTGCGTAAAACTCCACAAAGCAAGCGTTGATAGTGTGATGTTCTGATAGATTTTACATGAATACCACACCTCCGGCCTTACAAGTATGATTTTGATACTCTCCAACTGCGGGCTTTCCATTTGGCATACATACCATGCCACCACATCAACCCCAGGAAACAGACACTACCGGTGCAATAGAAGAAGATGAGAAACCTACGGAGACCAAAGAGATGATTTCACGAGTGGGCCCCATTAGATTCGGGCCATTCGACGTAACATCACAGGTACGGAATTCGATTTCTTCCAAACCCACCAGCAAATCCACACCCAGACACCACTCACAGCCCTCCCATGCCACGAAGGCCGAAAACTAACACGAAGGGACAGGTCTTCCACACAACGCCGCACACCTTCGCCCTCGTGAACCTCAAGCCGCTCCTCCCCGGGCACATTCTGATCTGCCCGCTCCACCAACCTCAAACCGCCAATAGCCCTCGACAGCCACCACCCTCCCGCCTAACCCAGCTCAGCCCAACCCAAACAAGCGACCTCTTCCACACCGTGCGCCGCCTCACCCCCACCCTGACCCGGCTCTACTCCGCCCACGCCTTCAACATCGCGATCCAAGACGGCGCGGCCGCAGGCCAGTCCGTGCCGCATCTGCACGTGCATGTCATACCGAGGAGGGAGGGGGATATGGATGCGCGGGGCGGAGGGGATCGGGTGTACGAGGTGCTGGAGAAGGGCGAGGAGGGGGATATCGGTGCGCATTTCCGAGCGCGAGACGGGATGGAAGGGGAAGATGGTGGGGCAAGAAGGGAGAAAAGGTTCGCCGCAGATTCAGAGCGCAAGCCGAGGAGCGAGGAGGAGATGCGCGGAGAAGCGGAGTGGTTGAGAGAGGAGCTGGAGAGGGACGGGATTTACAGCACTCCTGCGGCAATAACATCAGGGACATAGGCGGCCGGCGAGGCGGACGGATCACATTCGATCGGCCGGGGATGGGATGTCAGTGCTCAAGGCGTTGGTCTGGATATTGGCTGGTGGCGCTGGAGTTGCGACTCTCTTCGTGCTCGGAAGCAATATGCGACGCGCTGGTGGTGGTGTCTGAACTAAAGTGGATATGGATACATGACGATGGACGAGAGGATGTCAAGTACATAACATGATCTCCTCTCTTCTCCTCTCGCCTCACCTCACCCTATCAGTTCGGGGGGGTACTCAGATCTCCTTCGCAGCCTCAACGCGATAATTCAGGGACTAGGCAAGAGACATCTGCCCGGCTGAGGAAGTGTTTCAGCTGTTCACAGTTCCGTTGCGTGCAATTGGAAAGGTCACGGCTATGAAGACACTGAAAATGGCATTCGAGTGCAGCAGGAGGGCGGAATTGACTTCACCAGATACTGGGGTTTTTCTTCTACTGATAGCCTCGACTTGGAGTGCCATCTTCTACGAGTGCAACGCAGCAGGCTCACATAGAATGCTTTGACCACAATGAAGGGCTTTGAGCTCTAGAGGACGTGGCAGGGTGGGTAGATCGGATGGAATCGGCAATCAGAGTGTCAATTGGGATAGGAGTCATTGCTACAGCTGGAGAATCAAAGCACGACCAGAGATTAAGACAGCCAGGAAGCATAGAGGGAGGTCCAACACATTCATCTCGAATCCCTGCTTTTGAGAACATACAAACCGTCTTGATAACCCTATTTGACCTGAAGAGTACGCTGCTGGGAGACGAATGTTTCGTGACTCCATCTATGCTCATTTAATGAAGGTTTGTAAGATGATACCAAACCAATCGAGCAGTAGAACTCTCATCTTTCGTCCGTCATTATCGTTCATCTTGCCATTACTGCTTTCTTTATTCTAGGCATTGCCATCAACCTTGGCAATATATGCTGCAGGAAAGTCAGTAAGAAGTCTGAATGCCATGTTGGACACTGACCAAGGAGATCTAAAACACGACGAGAGTAGCCCCATTCATTATCGTACCAGGCAACCAGCTTGATGAAATGGTCATTCAGAGCAATACCGGCCTTGGCATCGAAGATGGCAGAATGGTCGTCACCATTCAGATCGCTGGAAACCAGCTCATCCTCGGAATAGGCCATGATACCTTCAACAGTCAGCTGTGTCTTGTCATGTCAGTATCTCAATGTCGTACCTTTCATTGGACCTTCAGCAGCCTCTTTGACGGCCGCTTTAATTTCATCATAGCTGCAAGGTTTCTCGGTGACACAAGTCAAGTCGACAACGGAGACGTTGGAGGTTGGGACACGCATGGACATGCCGGTAAGCTTGCCATTCAGCTCAGGGATAACCTTTCCGACGGCCTTTGCTGCACCAGTGCTGCTGGGAATGATGTTCTGGGCAGCAGTACGACCACCACGCCAATCCTTAGCCGAAGGTCCATCGACAGTCTTCTGTGTTGCTGTGTAGGAATGAATCGTGGTCATCAAGCCCTCCTTGATGCCAAACTTGTCGTGGATGATCTTGGCAAGAGGTGCGAGACAATTCGTGGTGCATGAAGCATTGGAGATGACCTCGATGTCCGATTTGTAACTCTTTTCGTTAACACCCATAACGAACATGGAAGCATCGGCTGAGGGAGCAGAGATAACGACCTTTTTAGCACCACCCTTCAGGTGAGCTGCAGCCTTGTCTTTGGTGGTAAAGACACCGGTACACTCGACAATGTAGTATGCCCCAGTATCGCTCCAGGGGATCTCGGCTGGATCTTTCTTCATATAGAATGCGACCTCTTGACCATTGACGACGAGTTTTTCTCCCTTGACTTCAATGCTGCCCTTGAATTGGCCATGTTGTGAATCGTATTTCAGCATGTAGGCCTGTCAGAAACCTGCATCAGCGATGTGGACGAGAGGCTATAAAGTTGGTCATCGGTGCTTACGGCGTATTTGGGGTCGATGAATGGGTCGTTGACAGCCACCACATTGACCTGACCATGCTCAACGCTATCAAAGCAGTTAGCACACCGTTCGGAGCAAATCTGGAAGCCACAAATGGCTTGTAGAACTTACGCATTACGGAACACCTAAATGCAAATGTCAGTGGCCTGATAGAAGTCCTAGGAGTAGAGAGAAGGCGAGGATTTACCAGACGACCGATACGACCAAAGCCGTTGATGCCAACCTTTGTAACCATGGTTGAGAATCTGTGTCTACTAGTCCAGTGTGCTGCTGATGTAGGGTGAGGTTAGGAGTCCAAGCTCGTGCAAGGTGGATGGGAGCTGTGGTGTATGTCTTACGGTACCGGCGACCGAGGTGTAGGAGAGGCTGAGTGTGATGTAAGACGTTTCTGGAAGCGTTCGTGACAGGAGACAATAGTAGGGACAATAGAACGTTGTACTGTCAAGCTATCGGGGTTCAAGCTGAGAGCTTCGTACAGTTTTTGTTGGTGGGGTTTTGATTGGAGCTAGCTAGCGGCCGGAAGGAGGGGTAGTGGAGGGAGAAGGCACAATGAGGATTCGGTGAACAAGTGACCTACAAGTAGCAAATTCGAGCGATGTCCGGAGCAGCGTATTCGCTGGCTTTTATATCTACTACTTCTTGGCTAGATTGTTTTTACCACAATCCTCCGCTTATCTGCTGATGCTAGATACCACCACTGCATCGCCTCTCACCAAAGCTTTGCGTCACGGTCCTTTTTAGTCAGAACATTGGCCGGAAGCGGTTTAGCAGGCGGGCCACAGGAGGGATCAACAATAATCCGTTGCCTTCGCCGTCGCTGCCGTTCCTACAGGCATTGTGATTCGGACTCCGCCGATGAGTGGTCAGACCGGCAGAATATTGCGCCCCTGCTTCTTTGTAATATGCTCGTATTTTACTTGACTCATATGAACAATTTGGGCGAAGGTGCGATGCCAAAACGAATCTATTGTTGTTTCTAGCATCAAAGGTAGCTAGTTTCCAAGGGACAGCAGAGGAGTTTTGGTTGCAAAGACACCCTGTTGATGATTAACC